AGCTACTAAGTGCAGAAATCAGATTCCAAGCTGAGGAGCAGATTTGCAAGTCCTGCCATGGACTTCACTCACAATATTATTAAAACCTGTTAACAATGTAAGATCATTTAGGAAGTATTTCAGCCTTTAGCATTGTGTGCATGTAACAGCATTTACCCTTACAAAAAAAGCTGTTTACAGCCCCATTCCAGCCCTTTTTCCTTTGCCAGAGACAGCTATCACTGCGGAATGAAAGATGAACTACACTCATGGCTAGTTGGTTGTATTCCAGCGCTGGTAAAACAAACCATTAAGGTCAAAGGACCAGCCATTTTAATAAACTGTGTGCACTACTGTTAATGTGACTTACAGCTTTGCTTTGCAGAGAGGGAAGCTATAAAACAGTATAAAAAAAGAAACCAATGTTTTACTGCATGGTTAAGAGTTAACTATATATATTACACAAACATATTTATATAAAATACACATATATTATATGCATACCTATATATTTATACAGCATGAATAAAACTCTAGTTGTATATACATATATATGTGTGTGTGTCTAGGTATCTAACTCTAGGTGCTTATGTAAGAAGTTCTCAGTTGTGCCAGTGACAGGACAAGGAGCAACGGGCACAAACTGGAACACAGGAAGTTCCATCTCAATATGAGAAAAAAGTTTTTTACTGTGAGGGTGACAGAGCACTGGAACAGGCTGCCCAGAGAGGTGGTGGAGTCTCTTTCTCTGGAGATATTCAAAGCCCTCCTGGATGCAATCCTGTGCAACCTGCTCTAGGTGATCCTAGATCTAGGTGATCCTGCTCTAGCAGGGGGGTTGGACTAGATGATTTCCAGAGGTCCCTTCCAACCCCTACCATTCTGTGAATCTGTGAATGTGCATGTATATGTGCCGAGGGCACATCTCAGTACTATTTGGGTGCTGGTTCTCACCTATCCAAGACAACTGTGTTGCACTGTGTGGCTCACAGGCGCAGACTCCCTGCCATTATTCAGATGGCAAATCCCCCTGCAGAGCACAGGAGGTCCTCCCTGTCCACGCGCTTCACTTTCCTTTCAATGGAAGCCAGGATATGTGGAGGGGAAGGGAGAAGAGGTAGGTCAGGTCCTGACTTGGCAGTCAGGACGTGGCCAGACCTTACACCGGGATACAGGGGAAAGGAAACGTTTCCTGATTCCCCAGTTTAGCCATAGGCTTCTCTGGCTTACAAAGCAGTGTTGTTCCATGCTGAGCAGGGGGCAGTTTTGTGATACAAATGAAAAGTATTTGGGGAACAGTTGCCACAGAGAACAGGAAACATTCAAAATTATTACTATATAACTTCTAGAGTTTCATGGCTTTCATGACATAAGATTGTGGTTCACAGGTCTGATATTTCATATGTCTTTCCTCATAGCTGGGTATTCAACCAGCAAAGACACCTGCCATCTATCCTTTGAAAACAGCATTCTCTTGAAGGGGTCTCCACCAGGCTCCAAAACAAAAGGCTGGCCAAAACCATTGTTCAGAGTTGGTTAAGGTCAGAAGTCCTAAGCCAGCCATAGTGCACAGAGAGCTAGATATAAGCTCATCTGCCTTAAGTACACTTGCCAACTCATTGTTCAAAATGTGTGGAGGGAATATACGCACATTTGGTAGTGGTCAACTGATTTTTTCAGGATCCTGGCTAGGCTGATATTGCTGGTCATCAGAAAACACTTGATTTGACTTCTGATCCAGAGAACTCAACACTGAAATTGCTGAGGTAAAGAATAAATATGGAATGATACAGAAGCAGGTCCTTTTAATATTAAACACTTCAGTGCCCAATGATTTTTCATCATTTTCACCTGTTTCTCTATGCTACAAAAAGGTATAGTGGACTTGCTCAACCTCAAGGTAAAATTATACCAGTGATAGAATTCTTTATATAAAAAAAATCTTGGGAAAATGTTTAAATGGAAATATATCTATCTCACTTATTGCTTCTTGAGGTCATCTTTAAACATTCATAAGTCATTTATCTTAAAATAAATTCTTCTCCATGGAGCTGCCTGCTTATTTTACCGAATATTTTCAATAATAAGTTTTTAATGTGTTTTCCCCTTTCCAGTATTTCAGACTACATTTTAGAGCCTAATTCCTTAAAACTAATGAATGCTTCTCCTTCCTTTACGATCCATTGCTGCTGTTGCTTAGCCACTGATTATATCACATACAAACTTTATCTTCTTTCTTATGACAAATGTTGTTATAGCCTGAAACAATTCCACCATATAGATAAAGTATTAAGTCTTTTGTGCAGGTGAACAGCTCTTCCATTTTCTTTCCATAAACTATTATCAGATTGGCCTATTCCTACAGGACTGCAGCATTTCTACAATCAGGATAATAATCAAAGTCTATTTCTCATTCTCTGAATATTGCTGATGAAAGAATGAATCTTATTCTTTCACGCTTAACTACGCAGAACAGCATTATTCATTTAACTGTTTCAGGAATCTCTGAACCATACAGATAAATGGGATTTTGGATGAACCAGGATTATTCCACTGTATCAAGGGATGTGAGACGGCACTTAATTTGGAGCATTAATTACTTAGGGATACATTATGTTAGGCTGATATGTACAGAAATCTAGATTACGAGAAGATTTGGCTTGATCGACAATTCTGTAATGTTCCCCATAACAAAAGTATTTTAAGTCATACCCACAGGCTTTTTTTTTAAAAAAAAGAAAAAATATAAAAAAGCAATCTTTTGGTGTATAAGTGTAGCAAAAGTACTTAGCATTCAACAGTTGTGATATTGGAATGCAAAAGGCATTGCAAACAACAGATTTTACTTTATTCCAACCATACTTTCATTTGATGTAAATACATTAATCCTGAGACCCAAGGAAAACCACTCCATTTCCCTTGCTTTGAATTGGCTTATTTGAGATAATTGATGGGTACAAACTATTAAACTTCAGGTAAGAGCACTGCCATCTTTGTGGGTTCCTATTTTAATCTTATTAGAGACATGCCCTTATACAAGTGATGACACTCTGGCTCTAAACAGCCCTTAGGTTCAATCTTTTCACTTCTGGCTGATCTTAACCTGGAAACAGAAATCCTACTCCAGTATTTGAAGCACAACTGGGCCCACTGGAGCAGTTATGGATCTGTGCCACATTTTGAATTTTTAACTGAATTTGAAATTCTTTTTTTTAAAGTGTATATACAGAAGATTTGCTTTATAGGTTGTATATGCTCATATGTCTCAAGGCTGCAGTTAAACACAAAAAGAACTCCTACATAGAACCTGTAGATTATTTTGTGCGAAGGTTTGCTCCTCATAATTTCTTTTCTTCTTTAGAGAAATTATAAGTTTTCATTTCCAGTTTGCTGGATTCAAAACATGCAAGTATAAAGAAAAGGTCCTCGCTTGACATTTTGATCGGAAAACATTGACCACGTTGAATCAACTTGCCCATGGGAATGTATTTATAGTGTCACAACTTGAGAGCATGTATAGGTCAAACACATGCCGGAAAGGTGACATTTCCCTGGGAAAAGAAATTCTGGCTTTTGTTCAGCCCTAGTCCGTAGCTCTTACAACTTTAGTTATGCTGATTAGCATCAACAGGCATTTTCTGAAGCACAATAGAACTGAATGATGCTGATGGTTTCATTTAAAAAATGACTAGCCATTATTTTTTGTACTGATTGGAATATGCTATACTGAGAGGAGTATCCTGATTTGGGATTAATATCTCCATACAGGAGGGCCTGTGCCACTTTATTTCATTTTCTTAAAAATTACACCTTAACTGATAAAATCAAAAAATCTGTGTGCATAAACCAGCCCTTTTTTTTCCTTTCCCTTTTTTGAAGTATATTAATCCACTGATTTATTGCTATTAATTATTAAATTATGTGATAATCACTGAGGAATTATCAGCTCACAACAAAATACTAAATTTTCTCAGACTTATTGACTAAGTTTGACCATCAAATTCTTACAGAAATTGTATCAGGGCAGTATTTTGCTCATTCTTCTTTGAGAAGACATTTCATTACCATGCAAATGGAAGTGCCTCTGAGCAGGCTAATTGGTATATGCGAGATGTAACATGCAAACCACAGTATTAAGTCACTCCACAATTTATACCTAAAGTATAATTCAAATCTGACTGGAAATACCATTGTTTTTTGAGATCTGGTATTTACATATGGCAAACTGGTGGGTGGATGTCTATGACATGTGCAAAGATTAGAAAGAATACTTGTGTAAGATACGATGCCTCACCAACAAAGAAAGAACATTTAAAAGAAATGCACTTGGTAATTAGATTAATAATGGGCAATTAATTTGATAGAAGCAGGCAGCCTATTTGAAAGCAACAGAAGTACATAATGTAATCAAAGCATATTTGGCCCAATTACTTGCATTTGTTTATTTATTTAAAGGCATGTTGTGTGCACACATGATCACTATCTTTTAATATTTATTTTAGAAGAGACTGTAACATTCAAAAGACCAGGAGAAGACTGAAAAAGACCACACATTTACTTCTAAGAATAGACATGGCCACTAAGCAGTTTAGGCAACTACAAATTAAGCTTCAAACACAAAATCTCAGGGACACTTTTCTGTAGGATAGGACAGAACCAGAATCCCAGACTCCCAAGCATATCAGAAAGGATGCTATCAGCATCTGCAAAACAGGCTTCAAGGCTAACACAACATGAAAAATCCACTCAAACACGCAATTTTGGCATGTGAATACAAACCTGAAACTCAACACACATATCAGCCAAACAGCCAAGAACCGGGTCTTTCATTACCATGAAGCTAATTTAAACCCGCTGTCACTCTCAAAAGCGTGTTAAGGTAGACTAATCTTTCTGACATGCAGTCATTTCTCTTAAGTGGCTAAACATGAAGCTACTGCAGCCGACAGCAGGCAGTCATTGATTTCACACCGTGAAAACACTTTCTAAAGACAACTCTGTTATCAAACGTGGTTATTTACCTGTCATAGTCTTGGCAAATCTCCCCAACAGCTACCAATGCTTTCAAGTACTCATTGGGTTGATAGGGGTGGATGTAGTGCAGGGAGCAGCTGTTCCTAGGATCACCATTTGATGCAGTGAAATCTATAGCTACCTGGAAAAAAAAGAAAAGTCAATCTGTTGTGGGGCTCTTCTGGGCATAAGTATACCCGCACTGACCATAAATCTTTACCAGAAACAGTTTTCTCTAAAGACTGCAGCCTTAAAGCAAAGGTCATTTTACAGTGCACTTCATCAAATTTGAATTAGGATAGTATCGATAACTATGTCTAAAAGTAAATGACAGCTTATAAAATAAGAGATAATAAAACTGAAATGGCATAATTAGGAAAAAAATGAAATGCATTACTATTCTATGTGGAAAATTATGTTCTAATATAAATGAATCAAATTAACTACCTCTAGGTTCTAGTACATAATTAAATTATTCCAGCTCAGATGATGTTCAGGACATAAAAGCTGTGCAGCAAAAATGTCCTGAGAGAGTTAAAAGTCCTACTAAAACTATAAATTAAAACTCCAGTTAGGGATATTTCTTAGTTATTTTAAACCTTACTGTGGCTGTAGTAATAGTAGTAGATACTGCCTGTCTGGTATTTTTTATCTTCAAAACATCTAAGCATTAAATAATTGCTTTTCATAGATGATAGCAAGCTTAAAGGTGAGCTGCAGGGTAAAAATAAAGCTTGAATCCTGCACAGATTTTTGCGTTGAAAAGACTTAGAGAAGATTGTGGGAAGCATTCAATGCAAAATCCTCTAAAAATTAATTTCTCCCTTTTACAACGCTCTTTATACTTCTCACTGAAGATATACTCCAGCATGCATCTTCCTGTGATATCACTGTCATGGACAAGAAAGCCCTCTTCTGAATTTGTGATGCTGCTTTCTAGGAATTCCTAGAAGGGGCAACAAGAAACCCAAAGGGTCTCATAGAAGGAACAAAACCATTTACAAACTTCCTCATGATTTTGTCCGATGACCTCTTCCTCCAAAAAACCCATTATACCTGGATGTTCAATAGACAAATGCACAATTTCAGTTTTCAGTTTTACAGGGCAGTTGACAGATAAGGGCCTTGCTGAAGGCTGCAAAAAGAACTTTGAAGTCCCAGCTTGCCTCTGCAAATATGCAGCTTCCTCAGCTGGAGCCTCTGCTTGGCACAGGGAAGACTATTCTACACAGCTATAAAATAAAAATGAAACATGACATTTTCATTCTCCCTTAAAAAACCAACACAGTCCTCCTGGAACTTATTTTTTGTTGCTAAAAACTAAAAGGGAAAAAATCATACTGGGTCAACCCAACATGGCTTTCCCCCACCATTTCTGATTTTCCACCTCTAACTCTTGGCTGAAGAAAAATATTTTTCACTGGGCTCTGGTTAGCTTGGAAATCCCTGTGTCGCCTTGGTCAACTATGAACCCCCCGCACCTCACCACATGTCAGTCAGGAGATATAAGCTTGATTTGCCTTGCAAATAAAGTAATCTTTCACCTCCGCTTCTCTACTCAGCATTCATGCACTGAAACAGTGAGTCAGTTTTCCACATTGATCTTTTTCTGAAAATGATAGCTTGATTTAACTTGAATAAATTGATGGGAAACCTCTCATGTTCTTAATTGCATGTATGTAGGTAACTGAGGAAGAAAGAAACACTAGTGCTTTGTGAAACCTAAGGTAAATCTGTAGATACTTGTATGGATTAGATTTGTTTTGGGACACTTATTTTAAAAAAATCTTAGCCTAAGTGTGCATATTTTCTTAAAAAGATGTATATTTTATCTGACATTAATTTAACCTTCAATTTTGTTCTGATTACAGAAAGTGCAAAAATTTCACTGTGTGATAGAGAAACAGAGGGCATTCC